GGAGGAAATTGCTCTCCTCAACTACAATATGAAAAAGTTGAAGACACAATTGTCATCACCACCACCATCTTCTTCACCACCAAAGGAGAATTGAGTATCAGGTATGGGCACTCGCCTTGGCTTCCGCCAAGCTTGGGGGAGGTGCCCCGGTATCGTATCACCCCACTATCTTATTACTTTTACTTATCTTAGTTCGATCTTTGCTTTAGATGAATAAAAGTTTAGTACGATATTTTCTTCTTTTTGAGAGTTTTGCTTAGTGATCTATCTTTGTAATCGTGTGCAAGTTATATAATAAAGTTTAGTTTGAGTTTTTGCTTTCTTTACTTTCATGTTGCAAATAAAGAAAAGAAATAAGAAAGAAAAGGAGAAAGGAAATAAATCAATAAGATCATATACTAATCCTATGGTAGGTGATGGCACCCCATAAGGAAGAGTATAAGTGGAAAATATTATTAGAGATTGACAAACATATCATTAGTCAATGATGCAACTCATGAAAGAATTAATAAGGGAAGAGAAGATTCACATATAAAAACACTATCCTAGAAATCTTTTGTGATTGTGAGCATTCATCAAAATATTATATGCCAAAATTGTTGACGTTGGACAAGGAAGACAACTTAATGATTTATGTTTGTTTATACTCACATAGAAGTCATATTGTCATAGATCCTTCAACATGTGGTGCTTGCCCTTATCTTCGCTAGCCAAAAATTCCGCACCTAGAGATACTACTTGTGCATCTAAAAACCCTTAAACCCAAATCTTATTTTCAAGTGTCCACCGTACCTACCTAGGGATTGAGCAAGATCCCTCAAGTAAGTTGTCATCGGTGCAAAAAGGCAATAAAAATTGCTTCTAAATGTGTGAGATAATTTAGTGTAAGATAAAATTGAGCGTTGTACGAACTTGGATGACAAAGAATAAAAGCGACAGACTGCATAATAAAGGTTGTCATCTTAAGGGGCAATAAAACATGACGTTCTCTGGCACTAAGGGATTGAGCATACAAACAAATAAGCGCATGGCAACCTCTGCTTCCCTCTGCGAAGGGCCTATCTTTTACTTTTATGAATTTATTTTTATGCAAAGAGTCAAAGTTTTCCCTCTATTCCTTTTTATTTTTCTCTTTTGGCAAGCATCATGTGGTGAGGAAAGATCTAGGCACATATGTCCAGCTGAATATAGATAGCGTGAGTTATTATTGATGACATCACCCTTGAGGTGAGTATGTTGGGGGGCAACACTATAAGCCCCTATCTTTCTATGTGTCCGATTGAAACGTTTTGCTCATGTGTACGCGGTGAGTGTTAGCAATCATAGAAGACTATATGATGGTTGAGTATGTGGACTTGCCTAAAGGCTGCGACACGTGACTCTTCCTGAAAAGATGATGAATTGTAGTTGCAAAGTTGACTGAGAACATAGTTTGTTGGTTTCTAATAGAGTTTTTTGCTTTATACTTCGATTGCGTGATGAACTGTTACTTATTCATGAGAAGTATATGATAAAAGTTCTATGATAAAAGTCTTATGTCTAAATTTTGTTGCTGTTATAATAATCAACATGATGCTTCTATGTCCGTGTTTTGTTTTTATCGACACCTCTCTCTAAAAGCATGTTGACATGTTTTTCGATTTCGGTTTTTGCTTGAGGACAAGCGGGGTCTAAGCTTGGGGGAGTTGATACGTCCATTTTGCATCATGTTTTCTTGCTGTTATTTATGATGTTTTTGTCCATAATAATGCTTTTTGGAGTAATTCTAATGCCTTTTCTCTCATAATTTGCAAGGTACACACCAAGAGGGAGAATTCCGGCAGCTGGAAAACTGGACCTAAAAAAGCTATGTCAGGCTACCTATTCTACACAACTCCAAATGAGCTGAAACTTCACGGAGATTTTTTATGGAATATTTAAGGAATATTGGAGCAAATAACTACCAGAGGGGGCCCGCCAGGTGGGCACAACCCACCTGGGCGCGCTAGGGAGCCCAGGCGCGCCCTGGTGGGTTGTGCTCACCAGGCCCACCTCTGATGCCCATCTTCTAGTATATAAGTCATTTTGACCTAGAAAAAATAAGAGGCGGACTTTCAGGACGGAGCGCCACCATCTCGAGGCGAAACTTGGGCAGGAACACTTTTGCCCTCCGGCGGAGCGATTCCGCCGGGGGAACTTCCCTCCCGGAGGGGGAAATCATCGTCATCATCATCACCAACAATTCTCCCATCTTGGGGAGGGCAATCTCCATCAACATCTTCAACAACACCATCTCATCTCAAACCCTAGTTCATCTCTTGTATTCAATCTTGTTACCGGAACTATAGATTGGTGCTTGTGGGTGACTAGTAGTGTTGATTACATCTTGTAGTTGATTACTATATGGTTTATTTGGTGAAAGATTATATGTTTATATCCATTATGCTATTTAATACTCCTCTGATCATGAACATGTTTATCGTTTGTGAGTAGTTACTTTTGTTCTTGAGGTCACGGGAGAAATCATGTTGCAAGTAATCATGTGAATTTGATATGTGTTCGATATTTTGATAGTATGTATGTTGTGATTCCCTTAGTGGTGTCATGTGAACGCCGACTACATGGCACTTCACCATATTTGGGCCTAAGGGAATGCATTGTGGAGTAGCAATTATATGGTGGGTTGTGAGAGTGACAGAAACTTAAACCCCGGTTTATGTGCTATTCCGTAAGGGACCGATTGGATCGTAAAGTTTAATACTATGATTAGAATTTATTCTTAATACTTTTCTCGTAGTTGCGGATGCTTGCAGGAGGGTCAATCATAAGTAGGAGGCATGTTTAAGTAAGAACAACACCTAAGCACCGGTCCACCCACATATCAAATTATCAAAGTAGCAAACACAAATCAAACCAACATGATGAAAGTGACTAGATAAAATCCCCGTATACCCTCAAGAACGCTTTGTTTATCATAAGAAACCGTTTTGGCCTGTCCTTTGGCTCAAAAGGATTGGGCTACCTTGCTGCACTTTTTTTTACTACTATCGTTAATTACTTGCTCGTTACAAATTATCTTGCTATCAAACTACTACGCTACTTACAATTTCAGCACTTCCAGACATTACCTTACTGAAAACTACTTGTCATTTTCTTCCGCTCCTCGCTGGGTTCGACACTCTTACTTAACGAAAAGAGCTACTATTGATCCCCTATACTTGTGGGTCATCACTGTGCAGGCGCCTCCAGTTCTACCATTATGTGAGTTTCTCAACCATATTTATGTCTTCGATATTGTTTATTCAAAAATAGTTGACAACTAATTTCTATTGACAGCTTATTTCCATTCAATCAAAGATGCCCGGTGCTTGGTAGATAGGACTGCCCACTGTCCCGGGGCTGAACTAAACTGCAAGGAGATAAGTCATTATGTTTCATGGCTTGAGGATCTTGATGCTGTCAAGAGAAATTATTTTCCTGGACTTTCAAATCTTAGTACTCAAGACGTGCGACCAATAGTGTTCGTATTGAACTATGATCACATCTATTTAGGAAAGATGGTAAGTTTTTTACTATTTGTTCTCAGTGCATCTTTTGCATACATTATTTTTTAAGCTAACCTTCATTGCGAAGTATGTTACTATACGATGTTCTTCAACAGGGACTCCCGATGATAGTTGTGCCTCAGTGGATCGAGACTAAAGGTCGCATATCAATGGTTAGCTTATGGCCAAGACATTCTACATCGCACATGAGTGCATTCAGGATTTCTAAAACCGAGGAATGCTTAATAGTGAAAGACTGAAGCAAAGTTGTGAAGGATCGCAGAGAAGTACTAGGGGGCAGCAATCATAAGCGCAACCCACGGTTAGGAGACAGGTTCATCTGCATGCTCCAATATGATGAATCAGGAGAGCTACATATGTTCTATGCTATTTTACCCGAGAGAGAGCAGGAGTGATTAGCTAGTTCCTGCTCTTAGTACTTGTCCTCTCATGTCCGTATTCTTCATCTTGAACTTAATATCAAAGTGATTTGCTTTTGTGGTCTTATGAACGCTTATAATCTCATGACCATGTTGAACTAGATGATATCTTTGCTTCTGGTACAAGTGAATGTTTCTTCTTTAAGCTAGCGTTGGTGGTGATTAGATAGCGGTAATGACTATGATGATTAAATAGTGGTAATGCTATGATGATTATCCGTGGTTCTTTCACCTAGTGATTTAATAACTCATTATAATATAAAAACAATCTCTAAATTAAATGGAAAACACAAGATTAAAGGAAAAATAAATAATAAAATCAGAAACCCCAAACCTTTTAGTACGGGTTGGTGTTACAAACCGGTACTAAAGGTCTCCCCGCCCCCGGCGCTGGCTCGTGCCACGTGGTGGCTCTTTAGTGGCGGTTCATGTTGAACCGGTACTAAATGGGGGAAGACCTTTAGTCCCCACCCTTTAGTGTCGGTTACATAACCGACACTAAAGGGCCTTATGAACCGGTGATAATGCCCGGTTCTGCACTAGTGCCCGGTGAAGAGGCAATCATCCAATAAAACAACAAGCACTGATCTTAGGGATCTTAGGGTTCTTTGGCTTGGTGTTTTTCTTTTTTTTTCTTGTTTTCCTTGTATGTATAGGGAAGGAAGAAAACAATTATCTCTTTTTTTAGGGTTTATAAACATGAGGTGCAGCCCAGCATCTCGTGTCGGCATCCCAGCCCACAAACTTGGAGGTAGAAACATGAGTTTGGTAGCCATTTCTCAAAAAAAAAAAAGAGTTTGGTATCCTAAAAAAACAAAATGGAGTTGGACGAGAGAGAGCAGCACGTGCGTGTGGTTGGAAGCGAACTCTTGCTCTGCTTGCCGCGTGATGGATAGATGGAGCTAACCACCAAACCAAACCCAACAATGGATTCTTCCAATCGTATATAAGTAACTAATCCGATCCCCATGAACTCCATCGATTCCATTAGATACCTCAGTGAGAGCATAACATACCATCGGAGGAAGAAGAAGAGATGGCGCGCGTGGAGGCGCTGAGCATGAGCGGCGCCACGGCGATCCCGGCGGAGTACGTGCGGCCGCAGGAGGAGCGCCACGGCCTGGGCGACGCCTACGACGAGGCGGCGGCCAGCTGGTCCGCGGCGGGCTCCCCGCGCATCCCCGTCGTCGACGTGGCCGCCTTCGACGCCACCGACCCGGCCTCGCCCGCCAGCCTCACCGTCGTCGACGCCGTGCGCGCGGCCGCCGAGGAATGGGGCGTCATGCACGTGGCCGGCCACGGCATCCCAGAGGACCTCATCGACGCGCTGCGCTCCGCCGGGACCGGGTTCTTCCGCATGCCGATCGAGGACAAGGAGGCCTACGCCAACGACCCGGCGGCGGGGCGGCTCGAAGGGTACGGCAGCCGGCTCGCGGGCTCCGCCGGCGAGGACGGGAAGAGGGAGTGGGAGGACTACCTGTTCCACATGCTCCACCCCGACGCCCGCGCCGACCACGCGCTCTGGCCGGCGTACCCGCCCGAGTACGTGCCCGTCACCAAGACCTTCGGGGAGCACGTGAGCGCGCTCTCGTCGCGGCTCCTCGCCATCCTCTCCCTCGGGCTCGGCGTCCCGGCCGACACCCTCGAGCGCCGCCTCCGCCTCACGTCCGGCGAGGCGGAGGTGGAGGACGACCTGCTGCTGAAGCTCAAGATCAACTACTACCCGCGGTGCCCGCAGCCGGAGCTGGCGGTGGGCGTGGAGGCGCACACCGACGTCTCCGCGCTCTCCTTCATCCTCACCAACGGCGTGCCCGGCCTGCAGGTCGTAGACAGCTCCGGGGCATGGGTCACTGCGCGCGACGAGCCCGGCACACTCGTCGTCCACGTCGGCGACGCGCTCGAGATCCTCAGCAACGGGCGCTACACGAGCGTGCTCCACCGCGGGCTCGTGAACCGGCAGGCCGTGCGCGTGTCCTGGGTCGTCTTCGCCGAGCCGCCGCCCGACTCCGTGCTGCTGCGCCCGCTGCCAGAGCTCGTTGAAGGCGATGGCGCCGAGACGCCGCGCTTCGAGCCGCGCACCTTCAGGCAGCACCTCGAGCGCAAGGTCCTCAAGAAGACCAATGATCAACATGAGGAGGAGGTTGTTAAGAAGCCACCCGTCGCCGCTCAAGAGGAGGAGAAGGAGAAGGCCACGAAGGCGCCGCCGGTCGCTGCTCATGAGGAGAAGGAGGAGGCCACGGAGACGCCGGTCGCCGGCGAGGAGCACAAGGTCCTGAAGAAGGAGCAGAGTGAGCAGGAGGAGGCCAAGATGGCGCCGGTGGCAGCCAACCTAGTGGAAGTTAATTAGTTAACTCATCCTACAATAATTTACCTAGTGGAAGTATTACTCGCATGGGGTAATTGTACGAATAAGTTTGCTTGCTATTGAGAGGTGATCATAAAAAAGATGCACTTTACTGTGGCATTTGTAACGAATTTAAGTAATCTAAGTTATGGTGTTGTAAGTAATCTTTATACCTTTTACATATATACTAGAACATATGTTTGTGTGTTGCAACATAAGATATAACTAGCACAAATGCCCGTGCGTTGCAACGGGAGATTATTTTTTACATGCTCCTAGCTCAATAATCATGACTCAAGGCCCTCCACATCTCCCCGTCATCTATTTTAACACGGGGCCTCACCTATATTATCGCATATCTGAATTTTCGCCTTGCCTGATAGTGCTTGTGGTGGCCACCTAATCACAATGTGTTAAAATATTCATCAATCCTATCTTGGTCATCGCACGACACACATGTCATTGATCCGCGCAAGTAAAAGGAATGTTTAAAACTTATAAAATTAATCCCATCCACCTGGACATGAGGCCGGCACTCTGCCAGCTACAGTTGATCCATACACCCTCTCTTATACTTACACTCACTTTTTAAATTGCATGACTTTATGTTCCATGTGCATTCAGTACATGGTTATAATATATCAAAGAAATACCCAATGTTTTACCAACCAAATCCACAGTTGGAAAAATCTGAACCAAAATCCTTGTGAGTTTTTTTTTTCCTGTAGTTTATATAGTTTTGCCTGAATATCCTTAGTTTTCTGGGAACTTCTATTAGGTTCATATTACATTTTACGCTGATTTGTATGCAAGACACATCCACGGCAAAAAATTGATAATTCCTTTGTGTGATTTACGGTATTTCATTTGCACATGGATGTGTGCAACCATATTTTTTCTCTCTCTACTTTGTCCACTATATGATTTATATTCATTGACAAGATTCTTTACAAAGATGTTGCATTTGGATTGGACCAATTTGTTTCTGTACATTTTTATTTTTAAAATGGAGGCTCTAATGTTATTTGAATATCCACTAATATCCCTATTATATTTGTTTAGCTATTATTTTTAGATTCATTCAGTTATGTGAATTTTTTTAACATGTTTTGGCCAGTCATTTTTTTCTCACATCGTAGTATCTGCACAATTTGCATTTGTTCATTTTTTAATCTATGTTTCAATCTAAAATTCTTAGATGGTATCAATCAATTTTTCCAATATAAAATTTCTTAGCTCTTTGATTAAAAAACGCATCTCTACTTTAAATTGAAGATGCTGGCCATATATGTGTCTTTTGTCCTCTATCGTGCTGGTCCTTGAACATGGCTGCTGGTGTGGCGAGCACATCGTGCATAACCGTGTGCGCTATCAGGCTGAGAGACCGTCTGCTCTGTCTATATGTGCCGGCCGTCCATGGCCTTCATGTGTCACTGATTTCTTTCATAATAGCCATATATTTGTCCATCTAGCCGCATGCACACCTCATTCATATATTTGCATGTCACCATCCAGCCTCTCGTTGCCTTATTTTTGTTGCTTATTTGTGACCAAATGGGATCCAATCTGTTTATTGACTCTCAAGACGATGTACTGATTTTAAAGCTTAGATGTATTTAAATTGGCAACCTAGGATTTAGGAAAGCGATGTGGTATTATTTAACAGAGAATCAGTCCAATTTCTATGCACAAAGTGGATGTAGCTCAATTGTACATAGGCCTTGTTGTTGGGCCAGAGGTTTGGAGTTCGATCCCAAACACCAGCACGTAACTTTTTGCGCCGGCTACCATAGCAGCTAGGCCGGCTGACTCGGCCGCACTTAATTAATGGGCTGAGGCCCACTCGGGCAACGTACGAGCGTATGAGAGAATCCAAAAGCAATTGAAACTAACGGTGTGCACGCGTGACCCAAGAATTAGTACCACCTCGCGTATAATTCAATTAATCAGCATAGTATCAGATGCGGGACGAAACCAAGAATATCACCTTGCTTTAATAGTAGGTATAGATGGCGTATCCACCGAAATATTCAGCATCATGGCCCAACAACATCCGAACGATGCCTATTGGTGTCAACCCTAGCTTGCCCTCTCACCGGAGCACTCTCTCTCTCTGTACTCTCGCTCGAACGGCCAGAGAAGAAGAAAGAAGGAGGGAGACACGGAACAAGGTGGTTCTGGCACACGAACGGCTTCTTCCTCAAGCACGAACTCGAACCCATAGTTACAACAGTACACGCAGGCGCGCCAACACGAGCCACACTCCCCATTCCTCCACGTCCTGCGTGATCCGCACGCCCTGGCTTGCGCCCCCGTCGCGCACTGACGCGATCAACGCGGCCGGGCTCCAACAGAACGCCACAGGCACCCCCGCCACTATCGCCAACTGAATCACGCACGCACACACGCACACAAGTCGGACCCAAGTAGACTATGGCCAGACTATCTACAAGTCGGACACTACCTAGACTATGGCCAGACAATGGCTCGACGCGGCCACGGACCGCACCCGACCTGCTCAGTGCGCGCGCACGCATTGCACATGCCCGCCGTCGCTTATTTGCTAACAATGCCACCCGGCAACGGCAGGAAGGTGCGCACCGAGGTCTAGTAATAATTCCTATCAATTGTACGGGCGTGACTAATTCACACGAATTCAAGTGGGTGAGATGGTGGTCAGAAAAAAATACATATTAATTTTTAGCCTTACTGTGGCATTTGTAACGATTGATGGTGGTCAGAAAAATATATATTAATTGACGCGAATTCACTCAAAGAATAAGTTTGCTTGCTATTGAGAGGTGGTCAGAAAAAATATATTAATTTTGCGCTTTACTGTGGCATTTGAACGATTTTTAGTAATCTAAGTTATGATGTTCTAAGTAATCTTTATGCCTTACATACCTACTAAGGACAGTAAAACCGAGCCTAATCCCTGTCCCCTCAGGCCTTATGCCTTTCCGACTGTCTGATCGCTGATTCGGTCATCCTTGGCCATCTGATGGCTAACTGGACGGCTGTCCATAAGGGAAGTTGCTCCCGTAGAAAAATCAAAGCATTCTGGTTTATTGCCGAATGAAGCCCATGTGGGGTAAGCACCATTCTCCATATGTCCCAAATGTGAATCCTAGGGAAACCTAGATCGGGTTCAAAGTCAGTCCCACCAGAATCCAGTAACTATAGTTGGCCCATATACTGTATTAGGGTCTCTTCGATTTACATGATTCTCAATGCACAATGATTAAAAGAACATGATAAGGGTGTCATGGGTGGAACGGAAAAAAAATGCATCACAGAGTGTATGCCACCACATGAGAAGAAAGGGAATTGTAACAACAGATACGACCGGCAACTTGTTTTCTCCAAAATAGAGTACTATGAAAAATACCAACGATCGTCATAGGACAAAATCTGTAGGATTCATACCTAACTATTGTAACTAACCAGGATAATAAGATCCTTTCAACATGCTATTGATATCAAGAACCAGAATAGTCACTCAAACACTCATCCATACTATGGGGACTTCAAGATCCGAGCCATATATAGACTTGCCACAAACAGAAGGTAGGTGAAATATATATTCTATAACAGCCATATAAAGATCGTATTGTTAGACCGCTGACTGCGCTCAGCCCACGATCTACGCACGATCCCCGTGCACGTACTGCTTTCGGTTGGGCACTGCCCTCCTATATGTAACTAGTAGAAGGCCCGTGCGTTGCCACGGGCTTTTAAATATTTTTACCGTGTGCATATATAAACATAATGCATATCAAGTTTTACGTGTAAACATAATTGAAATCCATATCACACAAAATATTCTTCGATACAAAATGTAATTCGATAATGTATACATAGAAAGACACGCGATGCACAAAATAAAGAAAGTGGTACAGAAACATAGTACTCTTTATTGTGCACTATATTACACAAGGTAGATAGCACTCTACATGACTTTTATGCTTAAGACCAATCATCTCACGAAGCATTTCCCTTGTTATTAGCCATTAATTAAAGACAACAGATGGAGCATTTTGTTACCTTTAAACAAATATTTCAAGATGCTGCAACAAGAACCTTAATACATTATGGAATTTCCTAACAAATATTACATAGACCCAAATATACAGCACACCATCCAATAAAAAATCATTATAATACACACCATCTAACTTAAAAGTCTGGCATATGAAAATTTAGACCTCCGATAGAAAACGCTGAATTTCAGCAGGAAATATCAAATACATGCTTCCCTGTCCGATGTATAAATATGTGTAATTCTCAATTGATGCACTTTTGAAATCTTCTAACTCACATAACACCATAATTACAGTGATTGTGCAACATATTTTTTAGAAAGCATGCATAAGCCTTTGAGTATAAACACAACTTTTGGTAGGGAGTCAATAACACCCCTAGGTAGCCAAGCCTTTGAGTATAAACAAAAATGATTTCTCAATCTTTCTTTTGCTTCATGGAGCTGTAATTATTGCTAACAGAAACAAAATAGAAATCACATGATAAAAAAGAAACAACGCAATAGGAGAAAATGAGGCATACTACGTGGCCATGCCGCTGACCTGGCCATCACAACCTCCGAGACCAAGGGGCGAGGAGGTGGCGGCATCAGCTCCAATGAACCTATGACACCAAAATGATTATGTTTGCCGTCCTCGATCGTCGGCATCATCGACTCAGTGGTCGGTCCCCTTGTATCTTCTTCCCCATGGATCGGGATTGATTCGACATAGGATCAGAACAACAAACAAAATCGAAAGTCACAAAGAATTATAGCCTAGTAATCGACAACAAAAGAGTGTGAACGAGACTTTCAAACAGAAGGTACAAGTAAAGGAGTCATTTTGTGCTCAATATATATGATGTAGTAATACATAATAACTTGTAGTGAGAAATTTTTTACACACATTCGCAAAGGCAGAAGAAATTTGATCCACACATACATACTAATCGAGCAATCATTTAAGGACGGAAGGAAAGCA